GGGGGGGGGTTGCTGGTTTTAGGTCATCATTATTATGGCAAAAATTAAAAAAGCTTAATGTGGCATAAGTTTCCCTGCTGACAGATGTGTTTGTCGTTTTTGTGCTGAAACGCAGTAGCCTGATGACTTATGGCCGCGGCGTGGCATTAAAAGTTGTACCTCATTAGATGCTGAAATCCTTTTTCCCCCCCATAAATGAAACCAATTATTCAATGCATATGTTTCATTAGACCCTATACGTCATTATTTTTTTAGTAACAAAGGGAAGAAGCCTTTTCAAATTAATTAAAGGGGATAATTTTCCTGAACATTTGATGTGGCTGTCCACTTTAATTATCCATCTGTTTGACGACGTGGCTCCCTAATGCAAATAATATCGCTGTGGAGCTGAAGGAAGACTTTTTTAGTGATTTATTTTGATTTAATGTTCTTTATTGTGTTATGAGTAAATATTAATGCGATGTAAGCGTCTGGCTTTTTTTAAAAATCGGCCTTAAAGCCGGCGTCTCGGTGCTCTTTTCTATGTGATGTTATACATATGCATATAAGTTAAAGCATCCAACGACATATAACACTCTAAATATGGCCCCTTTTTTTTCAGACTTGAAAGCTGTTCTTTATTTTGTACGTCTCTCCAAGACAACTAAGCTGTAAACGAGAACAGATGATTAACTTGCTAACACTGTTTTATTCATTCAGTGGGCTGGTACCTGGTACAGGGCCACATTCTCAGCTCAACAAGCTGGGAGACAAGGATCTGTGCTGTGTAGGTGTGGAAACCTTGAATCATCTACAGTACAGCGTGCACGTATGTAACCCACAGAATGTGATCAATATTAATCATGAAGTGAGTTGGGAAAAAGTTGAACACAATGCCATCCGTCTCCAGATACGAACAGCAGAAGAGATTTTGGATGTGAGCACGATTCCAAGAAGAGTTTGTGTGAATTAAACTTTTGAGATGTTAGCTGATTGGCTTAATCCATTAAAATGCTTTTAAAGACTATCTGGTGTAGACACACAGCCTATGCTGGATCATATAACTAAGCAAAATATCCTCTGCCATCTGCAGCGGGCAAGATGCGTTTTCAGACAACAGTTCAAGGTTTTACATGCCAGCTGATGTCGAAACAAAATACAATACCACATGTTTTATTAAAAAAAGACGAGTAGTTGTAATTGGGAAAGAAGGCTGATTGTTTTTCTCCTTTTGATGTGATTACACAAATTTTCATTTGTGTACATTAAAGCTTTATGGAGTGGAAACCTCCTTGTTTTTCTGCCACCAGAGTGCCAAGCTGTCTTTGCCAAATTCCGTCTTTTGATGTCTTCCCTTTTTATACACAAATCAGAGTTCCTTTAAAATGACCACATTAAATACCTTTCCAAGTGGTCTAATTTGATTACCTTTGTGGAGGTTGCCAGGGGCCGGCCGGCGACAGCCTCCATGTTCTTCCGGTAGCGAGTGGAGAGGTTAAGGATGGCGGCTGTCGCCGCTGCGGCTTGGAGACCATCTTCTTTTTTGAATTGACTCGGCGGGCTGTGCTGACCAGAGGTGGGCAGGCGGCCACCTGGAGCACCAAGGAAGCCAGGATACTGCTGAGGTGCTAAAAGACAAATAATTAGCAGATCATTTAGTTACTGAGACACCAGGTGTTCAACCCCAACTTAAAAGTGCACTGAAAGCGAGTTGAGATTTCTTCATTTTAGCGACAATCACTGAAGGCAGTCCTTAAAAAAATACACATAACATACATGTTTCATCTGCATGAGGAGAATTATCATTAGGTTTGTGACTGAGACAGCGTGTACACATTTAATTGGCCTTCCTCACACGCACACTTAGAAATCAATTAATTTTCTCTGTCAAAAAATATGAAACTTACAGTCAGGAAAATGGGGCATTTCCTGGTCCTGGTTGGCCCCCATCAGAGGCTGTTTGCCGAAGACTTGTGCATCAAAGCTGGCGTAATCAAAGCGGATTCTGCTGTACTTGTCCATGTCTTTTGTGAGGCTAGTTTGCAAGGCTGCTACTGGATGAGAGAGCCTGTAGTTCAACTGGTTCATCTCAAACTTCTTTATTAAGCCGATGGCTCTACAAGGAGGAAAATAAACAGAAAAAATGCTTTAATGTGTAAAACAAGCACCCGGAAACTTGTGAGAAAAGCGCCCAAAAAGTTAATATAAAGCAGTAAAGTGTAGACATTGTTTTTAACCATTGAGAGATGCCAGTGCTTTTGTACACATAGAGTCTGGGATCTGATGTGTGTTGTAGAGCCACAGCCAGGTTGCCAGACTAATTAATATAGTAGGAGTGGGCATCCTGCCCATGATGTATCCACAGGGAACAAAGAGTTCTGCTCTTTTATCATCTCTAATAGAGAGGAACTCACAGGACCAGCAACCATTGCTTATGTCTGCTTGGAAAGCTTGAAATAGACTGCGTTCTGCTGGGATCAGTGAACAAAAATATCCCACACTCTTCTCAACAATAATAGTGTTTATCACTTTTTTGCATAACCTCAGCTACGCCGGTAGAACTTCTGTCCACTATAGAGCTGCACTGTAATTATTATTTTCTGTGCATGCGACCACGCGTGGAAACCCCCGGACGTTATCTGGCATTATACCTCGGTGAGCGGTCAGGTGTTTGTCTGCATTTCAGGCTCTCGTCCTGAGGTTTGGAGACTTTCACTGCAGCAGCGATGGGGCAGCCGGAGAGACTGGTCGGGGAGGAAATCAAACACATTAGCCTAATACTGTAAGTCATCTATGAGCAGGGTGCAGGGCTTTCTAATGGGTTCTCTCCTGTGGCCGTACCTCCGGTGGGTGCTACGGTTGCTGTTGACGTGGCCCCTTCCTGTGCACCCGGGTGTAGGGCACTTGAGGACGTTCTCATGCATGGCCAGGACTGAGGAGACGACGGAGAACAAACACATGACATGAGCTCAAATGAGGAGGAACACGTCTGAAACAATTCAACATGTGAGGCGCAATCAAGCTTAGAGACTAAGATGGCAAACGCATGAATAAACTGAGCGTTTTGGAAATAAAACAAAATACGTTTTCACTGGTTAAATGATGATTTATATAACGGCTACATTAGAGCCTATAGAGCAAAGATCCTACAGAGACAGAGACGGGGGGAGAGAAAAGCAAGCGGCTTCCTCATTGTGAGGAATGCTGTAATGTGGCTGAAATGTAAATAGCTTAGTGCAAAAAAGGAGCGTAACAAGACAGCTGATTATATTCTTCAAAACAAACGCGTCGTTAAAGGTCCGCTCTGTATCCTTAGAAACTTCTTTTCTGTACATATCCTCCAATTAGTTTGTTGGAGTTGTCTATTTATTTTTGAATACTGCGTTAGCTAGCCCTTTGATTTGCAAATACTGCTTCCAGTCTAAGAGCATGTGCTTTTTTGAAAAAGTTAATTACTTTTTCTGTTCCTTTTGTAACATTACTGTTTAATGTTCAATGTTTGTTGAGTTATATTGAAATGACTTAACAATCGCCAATGTGTGGGGGGAAAAGAAAAAAAAAAAAAAAGAATTCAATATTCACACATTACAACACATTAGAAAAAGAGAAAGAGGGAGAGAGGGAGGAGGAAAAAAAATCCTTTAAGTTTATTTGAAAAGTTTCGCGCACATCTTTGAATTGAACTAAATGTATAAGCGGCTCTTTCTTGTCTTTGGGCTCGCGCTAAGAGGATTTCAACCGCTGCGACTGATTGTAAAATGTAAAAACTGGCAGTTTTTGTGAGCACAAGTCACCCGTCGTGGTGTACGTAGGCACACAAAAAAAAACTGCTCGTGCCACTTACTCTCCGGGGGAACTCGGACTTTATGCGGACACCCAGACAGGCTCCTGTGATGTGGGTACAGGCCCGTCACGTGACCGGTGCCATCGCAGCCAGGAGTTGGACACTTTATATCCTTTTTATCCGTCCGTGGAGAATCTGTAGACACAGCAGAGAAAGATCTCACAATAAATAAACACAGCAGGGCCACTATACTGCTGCCAAATTTAGTAGCCTTCCTGTCTTTAAGCAGCGAAGGAATAAGTGAGACGCACTTGTAATGCTTTTGTGCTGCCCTGAATGTATATTGTACATAGGTCAACAGATTGAAATATCATGCAAAGCCAGACACTTTTTTTTTTCTCACAAAATGCATGTATTAATCTGTCATTTTAGTTAAGGCTGCAGTTTAACACAGAGCATTCACTTCTTAATGCCCATCCATCGAAAGATTACATCTAGGATTACACATTTAGCTGCAGTCATTTGAAGAATCAGAGGGAAACATGAGAGGTACTTTAGGAGGATTTAAGACTTATGGTCATGGTTAAATATCCAGTTGATTCCTATCAAAATCCAATATTCTGAGTAGTAGCAATTCCATCGGAAAATTTTGTTCTTCTTTATTTTAGTCTGTTTATTTATTACTTCACTTGTTGCCAAAATGTTTTTAGTCCTTAAGAGGATTTCCTCCCTCTGATTTCCAGCCCTCCTCCCCCCCGCATATGCTTCTTTTATTCCTTTTAATGTTTTTTCTGAACGCCCCAATCATCCAAATCACAAGGGGTCCATCTGATTTCCGATGGATGGAGGTCCACGTGTGAAGCTACCGTTTTTTTTTTCCCTTCACTTTGCAGCTCGTCTCCTTCCTATCTTCATACCTTTTCCTCCGTGATAGTTGAGTCTGTCCATGTCCATCATCCTCTGGTGCCTCCTCTCGTTGGTCATCTGCTCCATGAGGAAGCGGTCCATCTCTCTGTAGGCGTGGTGCAGGACCTGCCGTTGCTCCGTCTGCAGGGCTATGGCCTGCTCCAACAGGCTCATGTTCACTCTCCCTCGGCTCATTTCGAGGCCTCTCTCGTGGAGGCCCAGGGCCCAGCTGTCTAGCCGGGGCGGCCTCTCCACCTCCGCCTCCCCCTCGCTGTCCTCCTCGGTGGGTAGCAGCCTGTATCTTAAAGCTTCGGCCTGGAAAATACCCGCCCGACCCATCGGACCGCCCAGTTCTAGGTGAGGCTCTTCCTTCACGTGGCCGTTCCTGCTGGAGAGGTCCTCCGAGGCTCTGGAGGGGCTGCAGTTTGAGCTGTTCACCTTCGCAGACAGGGACAGAGGCTCCCACTCGGCCTCCCTCATGTCTCTGTAGGGACTCTGCGGCGACGACGCGCTGCTCATCCTGTCTTGACTTTGGTCTTCTTCTTCGTTATTGAGGAGCTCCTCGTCATCGTCGTCCATCAGAGGCTCGGATGCGTCCGGCTCACACTGCGGGGAGCCGTCAGACGTGACTTCGGACCATCCGAGCGAGCTGCTGGACTTCGCTGCCGCGTCGTGGCAGCCATTTTTGTTGACCACCCCGTTGACGGCGCTCAAGTTTCCATCTAAAACAACAAGACGAGACTCGTTATTGTTAAATCTGAGCACAGCAAAACTTGCTCTTCGGTGACCCTTCTGTCACACGCAGGATAAGAATTGTACGTCCTTGGTAATCTTCTGCAAATCCTTTTAAGGGTTTAAATTTTGTGTCACTTTTCTGTGAATAAATACCTTGACAAAAACATGTTTTTTTTCATAACCATCTAGAGGATTTATAAGAATACACGCTGCGATGGAAATGATAATCACAAGGTTGCACGATTTCCACGCAATTCCTCGAGCATATTTCAGATAACACATACATAACCCTGTTTTTTTTTTTTTTTTGCTAGTTCAACATGAAACCCAGAGATGAGGAACACAATTGTTTTCCACTTTGTTGTGATCGGAGCAACAACCCAGCGCAGATTGAGGACAAGATTATGAAAGGATTTACAATACAGTGGAAAAGAAAACATCAGTTTTTAATTAGTTATGTGTATTTTATTTTTTTTTTTTTAAGTGCAAGCTATGCAGCAACATGTTGTCGTCTGAAAAACGGATTTTAAAAAACACATAACTGTTGTTTGTAAGGATGAGAAGAAGGAAAGTGAAGAGGATTCCTGAAAACACAGATGGAGGAGACCACAAACATGGAGATAAAAGAGAGAAATCTCTAAGATGTTGCTGTGTGTGTGTGTGTGTGTGTGTGTGTGTGTGGCAGAACGTGGTTTAGGAGAAGCCAGCCATACACCTCAGTCAAAAAACTGACAATAATATTTGTCGGGAAAAAAGCGTTAAAGGCGCAGCAGCCAAGAGAGCCCACAGAATCGAGAGGCTTACTTAGCGAACGTGACCCAAACCTGCTGAGAAACGTATTTGGTTTAATTTGATTCGATTTAAAAAATATATAGAGAGAATTTACAGTTTCTTAAAAAGATGCTCATGTGCACATTTACACTGAAATGAGAGGCTGTCGAATTGTTAAAAGGCTGAAATGAAAATGAAAATTATTGAGCTAACAGTTGAGGTGAAACAGGTGTTTTGTTTTTTAAACGCTGAAATGTTGAAATTACACGTGTGTGATTTACAGCGACGTGAGGCAGCAGAGGAGCTGCTGGTACGAGCCTCTTCTGCACATACTGAGCATATCTGTGTCTCGGTGAGTTGAAATATTTTTGGATGTTTTGTTAACGTGAATCAAATATAATATTATTTGAGTGGAGAGAAAAAAAAAACTGTTGAAACAGAAGATTTAAAAGCAGAATGTTGCAGGAGAGGGAGGGCTGATTATTTAATGAAAGAGCTTTTCCAGACTTTTTAAAATCTTGTTTACAATTAGATGCAATAATAATATAATAAAATATACGTTTCTTAAATTTGACACCAATTTTATATCGTCTCTTTTCCCCATCTCTGTTCTCTATGATTTAATTTGTGCCGACCTTTGGCCCTGCATCTTTCAGAGCAAATCCAGAAATCCCAGTCGTATGCACAAGATGTGTGCAGCCTTATGCAGCGCAAGTCTGATCAGCGGAGCAGACAAAGAGGGTTAGGGTTATCCCTGGAAACGCATGTGAAACAACACTTGGTTAACACCGCCGATCGCATGGAGTCATGGTCAGTGATTAACAATGCAAAGCTATCATCTGGACTGATTCAACAAAATCTCTCTTGATCCTCCAAAATGATGCAAACTTATGCTCTAATAAAGCTCTTTGTGGGGGTTTGTACTTTCAGCAGGCTGAACTGGAGGTCTCTATCCTCTTAAGTAGCCAGACATTAGAGGCCCAAACCAAAAGTGGGATTCGATAGATTGAGAACGTAGATAGAGATGGATTGTGACAATCAGATCACACAGTGCACAGATAAAGGTATCATCTGACAGCTACGACTTATTAATGGGCGCAACACAAAAAACTTAATCCTCATCAAAGGAGCTTTAAAATATGACAGATATCATGTGGCGCTAATAAAATAACGTTTAGTCCAGAATGTGCCATTTTGTGCATCGTTTGAAATGTCTGCTTTAATATATATATATATATACACATTTTTTTCCCGGGAACAACCGTCAATTCGGTGCCGTGAAAAAATATTTAAAAAGAGGTGTCTAAAGACAAACCCTGTTGAATGAAAAATTAAAGCCAGTTACACGTATTTACATTTATGAGGCAAGCAACAAGGGTTTTGTTTTTCATCCAGATGGACTCCCAATCCTGACACAGCCGCATACAGTCAGACAAGCACACAGACACACACACGCACACGCACACGCACGCACACACACACACACACACACACACACACACACACACACAGAAGTGCAGTGAAAAAAGGAAAGAGATGGAGGAAAAAAACTTGGATCCCTCCGGTGGTTTGTGTGTTGGAACAGGTGAACAGTTTGTACTCCAGAATAGCCATTACCAGCACTCTGCAGCAGGGCTGCAGTTGGCTGGAGTTGAACGCAGTGTGGCTCAACCAAACGAGAGGCTTATTTTTCTCCCTTTTTGTTAAAATGCAGATATGACCAGCTTCCCACTGCAAAAATTCTTACTGCCTCCAGTCCACTTTTCCAATTTCTGTTTTTCCACAGAAAATAGCCCCCAAATCTGACAATAACAGCAAAATATGTTCTGAATATGTTTATCAGTATTCATGCTTTTTTGACAGGTTTTAGACTTTTTTTTTTTTTTTTTTAAATTCTGGCTGGATTGTGTTTTGTTTTAAGGTAACTCAACCGAACGTCGGGCTTAAATAGGGAAAAATATACAGCAGTCAATCAGTGATTAAAAGAAGTATCTGGAATACATAACAACAAAAGGAAAACTGATGATGCCCAGTGAATTAGTTAGATAATTGTAATGTAATATGAACCCAGGAAACAAATAAATTCCATTTCCAATGAATCCACACAATTCAGTGAGCTACTCTCCTGGTCCATTTAACTACACACATGTGTACTATAATGAGCTGTAGACATTATGCCTAATTATGTATTAGACTGTGTTAGAGGGCCTAACAAAAGCTTTTGAAAGGGACAATTACGTTTGTTGCTTAGTTACATCGTTAAAAATATACCAAATCAGTGCAGATTATAGTGGGCGAGAATGCACATGTACACCACGAGCATTGTTGCCAAAATGCACAAAATTCAATTCATTAGGAAAAAAGAAAACATTTTTGCTTGTGAAAAGGACAGTGGCATAAGTGAAAATAAACAGTGTTTTAACTGAAGTGTGTTCCTGTGAGTAAGTAAAAATCTTTGTACAAAAAAAAAAAAAACAAGAAAGAAAGAAAATTGTAAATTAGTGGAACGCCGGCCAAGCAATGGTGACAACTCATTTGTTTTTAACAAAAGGCAACTTCAATAACATTTTGTATGAAAGAATGGAGGAAGTTTAATTTAAATCAAAGTGAACTGGTGCACGCCTCCATTCAGTTTTTCATTCTATGGATTCAATGGGTCTGGACTGGCTATTGAAAAAGGACAGATGAGGGGTCTGAAATCTGGCCTCATCAAAAGAGGGTAAAGCCACGCCAAAAATATCATGGCAGATCAGCTGTCAAAACTTCAATTTGTGGACGTGAGACACAACTAATGTGGACCCAGCAGTGTAGTCTTTCACTTCCACTGCACAATGACTGCGGCTGCTGGCTGATGGCAGAGGGAGGGAAATATGAATGCAACAGATGGGATTTTAAAATTCAGCGTCAATTGTTCATCAAAACAGACAAAACAACAGGACATCTGTTTACCTGCTGGAGTGTCAATGTTCCTCAGCTCTTCTTTGTCCTGTGGCGGTGCCAGGTCCTCACTCTCCTCTTCACATGCCTCGCTGGGGCTGTAGTGGCGGGGCTTCATCAGCAGGGACTTTCTCTTGTTGACGGGGGCACCCTGCACCCCTTCCTGAGCACTCCTCTTCCTCGCCATGGGCCCATATGGGCTGCAGGGAAGAGGGGAATGGACAAAACGCACAGCAGGGTCAGCGCGGGCCTCAGTTGGCTCATTCTAGAAATCCAACTAGTAAAAATAATCTTTTTTTTTTTTTTCATTATTTATAGCTGATGAAGTTAAAACCGTCTTTATGAATCACATCAAAGCGTATAAATAGTTCCCAGGATGAAGAAGTGTTTTCATAAAATCTTTACCTGTGAGTCTCGCCGCTGCAGTCGGCCAGCCCTGCGAAATAAAGGCCAAGAAACAACAAATAAAAAGTGGTGTTTGCATTTTAACTACAGCCGCAGCAGCATCTGTCACCGTATTCTTCGTCGGGGGTTCAAAGCGCCTCGTGACTTTTGGACTATTGCTAATGAAATTTATCCCCGCACTGTAAATATTTGTTTTGTAGATAATGTTTTAGGGATGATATGAGCAACCTTTTCCCATTGATTTTACTCCTTTTTTTTTTTTTTTTTTTTACAACGCCACGAGGTGTAATCAGCATAAGGATGCAGAAGTGGCCTCCTCATTGATCTGAAAGGCTTTTCATTCAGTCCCGTTCGTTCTCTGGAAAAACCGACAGTAGCTCATCCTTTGACGGCGTTGACAGCGTGATCTAAAAGGCTAAATCAATTTTCCCAGGGGCCTGCATAAATCTCATTCACAAGTTCTAGCCCTACTCCCATGAAGCACAACCAATAATAACACTTTTCATGAATTTCCCCAGATGTAGTAATAGCTCCAGCGTGAGCACGAAGGCCTCTGAGGCCCCGAACACTTGCATAATGACATATCCAGTCTAGAGGTTTTCAATCACACAATATATACACACTCCTTAACTAATTTGAGCCAGTGTTCCAATTTAATGAAGTTATTCCCCTCTGAATAATGAAATGGCGGTGCAGTGCTCTTCAGACCGGTAAGATAATACATAAAATTGACAGTTATAAAGTTGGATTGTTGAACTGATACCCCTAGCCCGTGGTGATAAGTGGAACACGCGTGTGCGTGAGTGTGGTTAAAAGCAAACCACAAAAAAAAAAAAAACTCAAAAGCTCACCTGTGCTACACGTTTTCAAGGTTTGCTCCTCGCCTTCAGAATCCATCTGGGAAAATAAACAAATAAATAAATGCACAGACAAGTCGTTAAAAGATTTTAATGTATTTAAAGTTTTATTATTCATTTATTTCATTTAATAGATTTATTGGAGATTTTTATTTTTTTTTTAGGGCAGGTAACCCCGAAGCCATAGAACCTTTAAATCTATTTTTATTTTGCACAACAACAACAACAACACAAAGAGCTCCTAAAACAGCAGTGATATGCAAACACATGAAGTACAACGCCAGGAGGAAAAGTTTCAGAGGTGAGTAAAACATGTAATGACACTAAATAATGACATTAAAGTACGGACAGCACCTCGCAGTGTGTGTTTAGACAAAAATAGTTGCTAAAATCCATCCACTCTCGCTGGCTGTTGCTTGTGGGTCCCAAATAAAACCTATTAAACATAATTATTCCAGGCTGATGGTGGCGTATAGTGGTCACAGGCCAGTGAAATCTGTGAGTCATAGGATATGCTGTTACTTTTCCCTGGTAATGGGAAACATGACTCCTCTCTCTCGTTTGCTGTTGTGATTGAAGGCACTGACCTGTCATACATTTATAATAGGGGAGCAGGTGTGGCAGTGATGGACCTTAATTTCCTTTAATAAACCTTTTATGTGCCACACTCTTAATGCCACGCCGGGCCCTCAGAGGTCCTGCTCATAATAGGTTCATTACTTTTGATTACTACAGCCTATTGAGACAAACAACTCCCAAACACTATAGATTACATTCTGTAAAAATGAATGTACCTCATTAGTTTGGAACACTTTTCCACAAAGACGCGCTCCAACATTTTGTATGAATCTGTTGTTCTGGAAGGCAAAACGTTGCTCTTACATCGAGCAGCCCTGAGATTATAACATGGGCATTAATCAAAGTTCAAATGATGTTATCAGTGCACTGAAATATCACCACTGACTCATAATGTTACCCTGTTTTTTTCTCCCCTCTTTCTTTCTTTTACGTGACATTTTAGACGCGTCCCTCTTATGTAAATGTTTAAACAACAGTAATAAACTTTGTGTGTGTTTCTAGGACAGTATGTGTGTGAAATTAACAGTAAAAATTAAAAATAATGACACTAAATTCAACCAGAATTACCTAAAGATGTGTAATGTCCAGTGATCCAGCGATGAGGTTTTAGTTTCTCGCTGTATTGTATGTTTTGTTTGTGTTTTTTTTTGTACTAGAGGATTCAGTTTCACAGGCTTGAGTCTGCTTTTAAAAGGGCATCAGCATTTCTCGTGCACTGATTTCTGACCGAGTGGAGTTCACAAAACAACAAGGAAGGCCTTTGATTGTTTGTTTGTTGAAAACTACGTGGACGTAGCAGAAGAAATACGCACCATCAGGGTCAAACGAAGGCATTTATTTTGACATTTCCTGTCTAAAAACATCCTAAAAGTTACCTTAGCGATTGCTTTCTTTATATGTTTCATCCATTTTTTTGCAGAGTGCCATATGGTGCAGATTAATGATCTGATCGTCATTACATGACAGGGAAATAATACTTAACTTTTTATATTTAGCAGAGCATTTAAAAGCAGCACAGGCGTTGATTAAATAGTGTTTATCCTCCTGTAACTGCAAATGTACAAACTGTTTCTTAATGTGCTGCTCAGCAATGCTAAATAGGTTAGAATTAATAAAATATATCTATATTCATTTAATTAAGATCTTTTTCAAAAGCATCATAACCACTGGAATCGTTCAGTCTAAATACAAAACTTTTATTAGAAACTCCCTCAAATCAATTTTGAGTTTCTAAGCTAGAAATAAAACAACGTTTCCGTCTACGTGCTGTTTTACCTCCACTTGTTTACCTGCATTATTTCTGCTCGTATAGAACGTTGTAAATAAAAAATAATAATAAAAAAAAAAAAAGCAGGGATCGCTGCACTTGAAACGAGAGCGCTGAATACAATAATAAGAACGATAACACCGTGTTTTTATACGTTTTGCCGAACATAACACCTTGCACGGCGGCTGAAAAGCGTAGCTGACATTATACCTGGCATTTAATGTATTTCTCCTGTCGTCTGTAGGCTGTAATTGATGTCTATTCATTCCTATATTTGTAATTTACACTCACCTAGACATCAAACTCAGTAGGAAAAGAGAGTGACGGATCACAGTAAACGTTGTGCCCGCTTTAGTGTTTATCGCGGTTGAAACACTGAAACCTCCGGGCCTTGTGATGAGCAAATATCTTTCTAGTGCAGTTTCAAAAAAAAAAGTTTTATCAGGTACAACTCCAGTTCAGACAACCTGACAACTAAAGCCAACCATCACTTCAGAAAAAGCAGATTCAGCAATACCTTTTAAAGAGTATGTTATCTGCCAGCCACCCACAGCTCTGCATAAGTAAAAACCAATCTCAGTTTGTGATCACCGTGGTCAAAGGAGCGGTGACACTCCACCACTTAGCATGCTACTTATCCCAAACACTGTTACACAACCATTTAGCCCTTTCTGTCCCTAACAAAACTTTCTTTTTCGTGCACATTATTTACCTTTGATTGTAGTTTTCCGAGCGCTCTGTAGGATAAGACGCCAGATCCACTGTGTTCACCCCGGTTGACGCTTTCACGCTTGTTGTCTCTCAGGAAGTGATCATGTAATTCATTATCTGTAAGAGAAAACACAGCAGACGCAAAAAAAATAAAAATAATAAAACATTTTACAATTTGTTTTTATATATATGAAACCGAATTTATGTTTTCGAACCAACTTTTGCGAGATTTTCATAAATATGTGAAGACAGGAAGGAAAAAAAAAAAAAGGTGGAAAGAGCATATTAATATCTCACATGGAATAAGGAACACGATGCAAATTGATTGCTTGACAGAGATCAAATTGCTTGCTTCTAATTAATACAAAACATCCAAGAGGGAAAACAAGGATGAACACAATAAGTACATTAAGCCTCTTCACTTCACAGATCTTATTATGGAATTATTTATTTCTGTTAGCTTTGAAAAAAAAAACATCTTCTTAATTATAGCTCACAGAGCGTTTCCCCGGAAAAACAAAACTGGGGGGGAAAAAAAAAAAAAAGAGAAGAAGAAGAAGCAGCAGTGGGGGTGGGTGGGTGGGTTGGGGGTTATTCACTCACTTTCATTAGCATATGAAAAAAGACTCACTACTATACGGGCTGGTTCGTCATCTGCTGAATCATATTTATGCCCCCCCGCCCCTCCGCCCCGCCGCCACCCCACCCCAAACACACACACACACACCCCAAGTACAACATAAATAATGCTTCTCAGAGGACTGTTTCCCTGCGTCTAGGGCAGATTTCTCAGGGGGGAAAAAGGAGGCAGCCTGATGCTGAGGGTCTATGAGATTTTCTATGTGTTAATCTGGCTGCTAGCTGTCCTTGAGCCCAGCCCATTCCCCCCTAACCCCATCTGCTAGCATTCCCACCACAGAGGAGAGAATGGGCTGTGACTGGGGGGGGAAAAAAGGGAAAAAGAGAGAGACCTTCCCAGTCCAGCAATCATGAATAACCATTGCCTCGCACCATTATCAGAGACGCTGGATCCAAGCTGAGATGGTGGAGAGCAAATGTCTGTGAAACACCCTGACGCTCGTGACATTACTCTAACCACACTCTCACATTTTGTTGTAAGTGATGCTATTATTATTATTTTCATATAATGCCTTATTAATACCGCGCAGCTGCTGTGGATATTCATCACTGACCTTGAGTCTTTGTGTCCCCTTGTTCCCAGCTTATCCGTGCACTTGGGACGCTCTCATGTAATTAACACAGACATTATTGTGATGGAGTAAAAAAAACTCTGTGCTGATACCTCATCTTGAAACCAATAAAGCGGGCCAGAGTAGCAAAGTAAGATTCTGGAGACCATAAAATTAATTACATTATTTACATTTCCTTTAGATAGGGGGGTACAGGCGAGATGATAGAGGCAAATGAGATTACACAAAATAAGATTTTGAAATGTCAGTGCTGCACACTCAAGCAAGCAACTGTTATGATTAGATTACTCTTTTAATATAATTACTGTCTAAGGCTGTGTGCGCGCGTGTGTGTGGAAACAATGCATACATAAAAACAGGAGGCGCGTCTTAACTGATTCCCATCCTTTTTCTCCACGAGTCTTTTTCTCTTAACCTTTCCTCAACAGTATCATTTTGAATTATAGGGAACGGATGGGTGCTCTGTGCAAGGTCACTGTCTGGTGTGTGCTCACCCCCTCCCCTCGCTCCTTGTTTTTGTTTCCTCTTCCAGAAGCACACTGAGTGAAGGGTTAAAACTGGAATGGATTTAATTATGGAATGAATGGAATTATAATGCGCCTGCAGCAAGTTTTCCTCCTTATTTATTAAAGCAGCTGATGGGCCAGGTTTGATGAGCCACTTCTGGCATAATTGAGTCATCACACAAAGAGGGTTCCTCGCATTCAGAGTGGTTTTATCAGCAGCAAACAGACCTGATTACTGGCAATTACACTCTGATCTAGGGGAAGGAGAAAAAAAGGGTAAATGTGCGGGGTAACTTCTGTGTTTATAGTTTACCCCGGGAATAATTTTCACATTAATTTTACATGCTAAGTGTTTTCTGTTTATGTATAATAAAGAGCAAATGGTAGGAGATAGCACCTTTTACTTTCATATTTCCTTGTAATGAATGTCTGCGAGGACACAGCGAACCGATCGCAATTCATATTTATCCTATAGGAGGCTGCGTGCTGCGGGGAATCAGCTAAACGTATACGACGGCGGCGGCGCGTCTAGCTGAGGCGGAAAAGGTGAGCTAGCAGCGATATACCTGCTTGGAGAGCGCTCACACCTAATCTGTGGAAAGCAGGTAAAGCTGTATACGGAGCACGAGCCATTTGCGTCGTTTGCTGTTTTTTTTATTTTTTTTTATTGAGGTGCAAATGGGTTTCGTGGTGGGTGAATTAAGCTGCGGTCAGAGATTAAAATCAACTTCTGTTCAGGGAGTGTTTAGATAACCAACTTTTCTTTTTTCCTTTTGTCTTTTAATCAGATGCCCTGCGCCTGGATACCAGCTGGACGCTAGCTGGGATGCATTACACGAGGGGGGGAGGGGGTCACAAAAGGTCCAGGGAGTCTATTTTATGTCTTATTTTGTAGATTTTTTTCCCCCTTATATTTCACAATTAGTAGTTTTACTTTTTGTAGCACAACTGTCACTTCGTCAACACCTACCAGCGCAGGAAAATGTGCTTTGTTCATAATATTATCACATGAATGATGGAGATGAAAAAGATGCTGAACAGGTTTTCGCTCCCTTCAGTCCTTTAAAATATCAAGATGAGTTTATTTAGCACAATTTCAAGCGAGCTTTCGGTGCAAGAAAAATATTGGGCTTTTATATACGCCGTGTGTACGTATGCACCCTTTCAAATGGACGAAGAGGAGAAAAAAAAAAATACCGTATCTTTAAAAAAAATTCTTCTGCCAACAATTTATGAGCATTCCTCTGTGTAATAGAGGTTTCTGGATTCATGCAGACACAGTCAAAATCTTGAAGTCAACTGCGATTTCAGATATAACAGCCTCACAGCTACCCTGACGGCCAAGCAAAGTGTTTGTGCCTTTTGCCAAAGAGTACTTTTATAGAGAAGCGTATTGGCATCTTATCACTTCTCCAAGACAGAGATGCTTCAATAAAAGAACACAGCTCACAGAATTCTTAACAGACAATTAGGAGCCTGGCTAGCCACTATCGCTTCAATGATTTGTTATGATGGCATAACTACAGGGGAAACTTGTTATTGGACGGAGTTAGCAAGAGTCCCATAAAAGAGTCAGATGGTGACACCTTTGCCGAGGTGATTTATGAATCTTGTAATCGCTTTCCAAAGTCATCCCAAAGCCTTCCCTCTAAATTGAGTTCATCTGGAGCCGGACCACACAGAGGCACCAAGTCCAGATTGTTTCTTCTGACATCAAAGAGCCAATTTCTGTTTTTGACCAAATTTCTGGTGCTTTTAGTTCCCTTATCGTATGAAAGGCGCCTAGATGATATGCTATTTTATTTGTGAATTTCAATCCAATTAAGAACACCAAAATATTGAGACAAATAAAATTTGTATCTGCTTTCACTCCACTGTCCATCAATAGCATAATAAATGGAGCGGCAGACAATTCAACCATTGGCAAGACTCCAGTCTGCCAAACCAGTCTCATGTTAGTTTGAATCTTTGAATTCTGTCATGAACATGGTTTTTCAAACCTGTCTAATTTAGGGACAGGTGTTTGGGGAGAAAGAAGTTCCAGCCCTGGTGTAACAATGAGCAGAGTAATCCTGTTCATTGTTCCTGCCCAAGGAGCCCCTTTCATGGAGGAGGTTGCATGAATGCTACCAGGTGGTCTGCAATTTGGAGAAACGTAGTAACCGTTCCAGCTAATCCCCCGTCACAAAAGGCAGGTCTCCAGTGCTCTGGGGCTCTCCGGGGCAAAGGGAAAAGTTTACCTCGAACACACAGTGTCTGAAAGGAGTCAGGGACTCGAGCAGTGATTCCTAATCAGATTGCGCTGAAGTGAACAGCTCGCATGGCAGCTGTAGTTTTCCCAGGGTTAATTACCTTTCACTGCTCTCTCTAAATGAGTCAGCTGTTCCTGTCATTAAACAACTCCACTCTATCTCTGCTCCTCTGTCCTCCTCACACATGTGCACATGTGCACACGGGTGTGCACGTTCACACACACACACACACACGCATATAGAGGTGCACCTTTGTTTTCCACCCATTGTTTTTCGTGGCGATCAAAGACCTTTAAAACATCAATTATTAGGATGTTGTAGCGACTTTGATCAGTTAACTAGTGAGTCGGTGGCCACTGGAACGGAGGCTGCTGTAGGTTCGTTTAAGCTCCTGATATTTATGCAGATAGAAGGCAGTAGTCCCAGTGCACCTCCCCTACCCTGGTAAAGAGAAATAATGCCAATCTGTCAAGGTCTTATTCTAAACAGCCCCTTTAGTACTAATTGAGTGCATATAGGAAGCAAACATGTTCTCATATGCGCACACACAAACACGGACATACGTACATACACGCAAACATGCGGACACACATACATGCACACACACACACGCACACACACAAAGACACACAGAGTCCAGCTCTGATATAGTTATGCTGTCATCAATTCTGAACAATCTGTCTGCTTACTGAGCTCAGTGGCTCAGGATGTTGGGGGAGTTTTAAGTGATTTTTGCCACTGTATGGTAAAATCCCTTGGCCACCTGGATTACAAACTCTAGTCCTTTAACTCATGCCAGTATAAATCCGTGTTAACTCGGATTTACCTCTGGCATATGAATTCTCAATCTGCGTAAGCTTTGTTTGGAATGAGTCGAACATAAGTATTTCATGCAGCAAGGATGCCCAGTGGTGAATTCCTATTTCTGTGAAACACACACTGGGAGATAGTTGAGGACTAAATCAGTTATCAGAACAACTAGAGAAGCCCGAAGCAGTGTTTTATTACAGTCAAGAGGTGAGACCCGCATAGCCATTCACATCCAGGTGGAAGTGTGCGAGGCTGCACTGTGAAATCCACGTAACCATGGTGACAGATATAAACTCAGAGCTGTGCACTGTGGTCAAGAGTTTAATCAGATTCCTTAC